ATTATTTCAGTTTGAAATGTTTCAGTTCTCCCCCAGAGCAGAGGAAGCAGGCAGGAAACTCTGGCTCTGATTGGTCAGGGTGATACAGACAGATTAGAGAAGCTTTAGGGAATTTCTGGATATAGGACAGACAGACGGCTGGAGGAATGGGTGGGTGGGAACAGGGGGATGGAGGAATGTGAATAAACAGAGATGGATGAGAGGATAAACAGCAGCAGCCTTTCACTTTTGAACAGACATACATTGGATGAACAGATCAGTTTGTTAACCTCTGATTGCTGAGCTCAAGTTCTGTTCTCTGAAAACTGTCCCTGAACTGTTTCTAAACTCACCAAGAGTCACATCCTTTCAGGTGTAAACAGACTGACGCTCGTGCTTCAGGACCCACTGTACACTCTGCTCTAACATGGGAGGTGTCACAACAAGACTGTTCATGTTCTTTGATTCTTCCTTCCTTCATTTTTTATATTGTTCTACTGTTAGTTTATTTATTATTTTTATTATTTGCCTGGGAACTTTGCCTGGGAGGAGTCTCAGTATTAAGGAAAAGGACCTAGCATGAATGAACAAGAAAGAGAAAAGTTAACAAAACCAAAAGATGATAGATTATATATTAATTATTATTTATATATACGTATATATATATTAAGTGAACTGTAAATATAGATGCAGTACAATCCTAAGAACAGTAGGAAATGAAAACACGGGACACAAATGAGAGTTCAGGTGTGTCTCACCTGTGCTCCTGTTGTCCCCGTCCAGTCGGTGTCTCCGCTAGTGACGGACAGAGCGGCCACAACGCTGCCCTCCCCCATGCAACCCCTTACACAAGCAGTTTACATCAGTTTCCAATGAGCTGCACTTTTAAGTCCACTTATTCAAGTACTGTACTTAAGTACAAATCTGAGGTACTTCATGCTCCTACTGCACTAACTTTCAAAAAAAACTGTACTGCTCACTGCACATCAGTGTTCTCCTATTTCTTGAGGTTAAAAGGCTAGTTTGCAAACCCTTGGATTGATCAGCTGGTTGACTGGTTGAGCTGCCTTCAGGAACTAGAACCAGTACTCTCCCCTAAGCCCAGCAACCTGCTGTGTCTTCGCTGGCACCCTCGTACTACAGTATATTTTCCAGTCCTGGCCTGAATATACTAGTACTTTATCTAATACTCCTAGTACTCCACTGAGGCAGTGTGGTAGCACCTGTGCAGTAGCTTAGTTTATGCATATGGACTGCATATACCAGTAATGTAGTATAAACCGATTCACATCCATCTGGGGCCTAAATACTTGCCCCACTGCCTTCTTCACTAGCCTAGTACCCTACTCATGATTAACATGTACTCCAGGACCAGTGCAAACTCTGTATATGACCATATACAGTATACTTTAATTAAAGGAACATGTAAAACCATGGGATAAATGTGGGGGAGGACTGCAGTATGTGATGAAGGGGGTGGTGTCCACAGAGGATTATGCCTACAGTCCACCAGCTTCTGTTTGTGCTGCTGTGTGTACATGTTGACTCTGACCTCAAGCTGATCAGGTATTCTCCAGCGTAATGCTTCTTCACTCTCCTGAACAAGAAGAGCAAGGATTGATTCAAGAATTGACTGATTGATCACATTAGATCACAGATCCTGGTCCAGGATCCAATGTGAGTTTAAACCACAAAAACCAGTAAAACCAGCACTGCAATTGGAAAGTTTAACCAGCGTCATTCTTACACTGGAGTAATCTGGGTGGTGCCCCCAACCGGTTTACTTCTGCCTACAACATCCTTGTCTTTGTAGCCATGCTACCAGGCAGCTCTGCGGTCCACACTGAAGTGGCTCAACAACTGCTGGATGGGTGATGATCAGACTGTATTCAGATGTTCCAGAACATCGGGGAACAAATTCCTCTGACTTTTCCTCTACTGCCAGTATCTAGTCATAATGTAGAGTTCACTGGTAATTAGCAAACATTAGCATGCTGACACACTAAACTAATATGGCCCACATGGGAAGCCTGTATGGTAGCATTGCTACTGTTGGTATATTAGTAATAATTATTATGAGGTGGTTTTAGTTTTCAGGGTAGAGTCGGGTTCAGCATAGGGCTCAGGGCGGGGAGTACCAGCAAGTGTGGTTACCCTCTACAGTTAGTCTGGCCTGGGTTTGGTCCTCCCTGTACTGGTCCCAGGCCTGGCAGCTATTCCGGTGTCCTCTGGGAAAACCTCCTGAATCAGCAGTGTGCAGTGGTTCTCCTTGCTGAGGAGGTGGAAGTCCCCCGGCTCATCACCTCCTGTGCGTCACGGAGCCACACCACTTCTGGAGCAGGCTGACCTAGGGGCCATTAGGACTTTATCAGTACATCACTATCAATGCTCACCAACACATGATCACAGCCAGGATCCAACAGGTTGATGATGATTCTTGATCCTTCCTTTAGGGAGCATGACTGTTCATTTTAATAACTTTGCAACACTAAGGCTAATGCAAAGAAAACCAGTGTGAGATGTTTGCATCCGTGGTGACATAAAGAGCTGTTTATATCAGAAGGGTCTATCCGTGTTGTTATTTGTGTGAGGACGGTGTGAGCACAAAGGTCACTGTGGCTGTGAGTTGTAAACTTCAGACTTTCTGGTGATGAATCCTGGTTTTCTTAGAGAAACAGCAGCAGGGCCTGATTAGGATGATGAGAGCAGAGCTTATATGGAGAAAACCCTCTGCTGGAAATCATTATGTAACACACAGACTGAGCACACAATTATTTTTGAAAATAAATAAATCACTGCATAACAACACAGTGCAGAATGTCCTCACAACAACAGAAAGACGTGCACACACATGCAAAGGAAATGAAGCCTCGTCCAGAGTAAATCTGACCATGTCCCCTGAGATCTGACAGGAAATAGCACAGCTAACACATACACACACACACACACACAAGTGGGGTTCGCACCACTCAGCTCTACTGTCAGGTTGCTCAGGTGGCTGATGAAGCGTGGAGCCTCATGATCACCTCCATCCTCTGACCCTGCAGTCTGCCTGCAAGAGCACGTGAAGAAGAAGATCACACAGGTTTGGTGTCACATCACATCTACTTCCTGCTTCAGACTTGGATTCAGGTGAAGTGTGCATGATGTTTTCACCGAGTCCAGGCTGTTGCTCAGCCTCTTCTGCAGGAACAGCAGTTCTCGTACAATCTGAAAGCGAGGTACTTGACGAGCTGATAGTAGGACAGGATGCATGGACAGCAGAATCAAAACTCTATGACACTAACACACGCGACAATGTAACAAGACATAATAAACACTATATCAAACATAAAAGGCAAAATATATGAGGGAATAAACCACTGCAAAACATGAACACAATCAATGAGAAGGCGGTAAATAACAGAGGACACTTTAACGGGTCAGTTGTTCATTGTGCAGAAAGGCACAGACAGAGATGTACAGATGCAGATATACAGGAATGTAATATACAACACAGGGCGGCACAGTGGTGCAGTGGTTGGCTCTGATGCCTCACAGCCAGAAGGTTGCAAGTTCTCCCTGTAACTGTGGGTTTCCTCCCCCAGTAAGACGTGCACATCTGGTTCGCTGGTAATATTAATACGCAGCGTTTCTCTCGAATCCTGAAGGGAGAAGTCTTACTTAGCTTCCTTCTTGTGTAAACTGAAATGACAGTAGCCAACTGTGTGTGTCCTCTGGCATCACTGATATGTACACACACACACACAGAGAAGACATACAGTATGTTCACACTCACTAACACACACATTCCAGACAGTCCATTAACACACACTTGTGTCTGTGTCAGATGTTGGAAGAGAGAGAAAAGGAAATCCAGACTCCTTATATGGAAATGGACAAGAGAGGATCACACTGATGTCTCTCTCTAACATGTACACATGCACATCCCCGTGACACATGGCCTGTGGTTATATTAGTCCACAAGTTCAACAAACTGAGGGCAAAATGAACGTTTCAACATTTACAGTTCAGCGATGATAAACTTAATAACATGTTCTGATTGGAAGCAGCACAAAACAACATCAAATCAGAAACAAGGGGCGGCGAGCTGCTGTTTACCTGACCCTGGATCAGTTCCTGCACTGAGTGACCTGTGAGTCAGAGTGCATCAAACTTTGTCTCGCCAGTGGTTCATAATTTATTATTGTGTTTTTGTTAGTTTATGCAGAACTAGTGTGCAACAGCAAATCTGTTTTAAAGGAACCATGATGGGACACGGTCTCGTCTGTCATGAGCATGAAGAGGGGATGTTACGTCACGTTTCACAGGTCACAAATACAAGGGAAAACCCCGAAGTCTGTATCCCTTAACAGAAATACATGCCCAAACACATTTATTTACTTTCAGAAACCTTTTTAACAAACAAGACAACAGGCATGAAGATTTGATTCATGGTTGCGTCTTCTCGATCCTTTTGCTGCAGCTCATGAATGTGTCACTTCTTTCAAAAACAAAATGAATCAAAAACAAGTTGCCTCTGAACACAATCCAGCCATAATTACATTCCCATGTCAACATAAAACAGGAAACGGTTTGGTGACATATGAACACAAGCTCTAGGAGACAGAGTAGCATATGGGTGGTGCTGCAAGCTAATGCTAGCTAAACTGTAGCAAAACTCAAAGTGGAGCAAAACTCAAACTCAGCCAGCAGTCAAAAACATACTGTGTGTGT